GCCGACCGATTGGACGGTCCCGATTCGACGCGTTCCAATTCGAAGCGGTACCGATTGGACGCGTCCCAATTCGAAGCTGCTAAATTTGGTTAGGTTATGTTCTATAAGCTCTGCTTAGAATTGGAACGCGTCCAATCGGCACCGCTTCGAATTGGAACACGTCGAATCGGGACCGTCCGAATCGGGACCGTCCAATCGGTCGGCGTCCAAGTGGGCATCACTCGATCTGACTTGTGATTTAGTAATCGGCGGCTTATCCCCAGAATCTACTTTCAAAAACCTAGCTCTCTGTCATCCCTTTCTTTTATTTCCAGTATCTCCCTAACAAATGTGGAAAAGGACTCCCAATTTTCCTGTTTTCCTATTAGAAATTTCTGAAAATTCCTAAGAAGTTCATCCCCCAAAGGGATACCGTATTTAACTCTAACATTGTCGCAGTATGGGCAATAAAAAACAGTGTGCTCTACATCATCACAGTCATGAGAGCAGTAATTACATCCGGCATTATCCCTTCTTCCAATCTTTTTGAGGAAATTATTGAAGGCTCCGTGACCGGACAACGCCTGGGTCATGTGATACCCGACTTCCCCGAATTTCCTCCCTTTCCAGCTAATTACATCCGGTAAAATCCTCCTCGTCCACGCGCCGCTGTCCTGTGGACCTCTGTTAGACCATCTTTCCTGCCATTTCCTACAAATTTCGTTTTTTAGCATTTTTTTCTTTTTAAACTTCAATGGTTTAGTTAAGCTACAATTTCCTGTTTCTGGTAAACCCTGACAAAATCTGAAGTATTCCTTCCTATTCCATGCAACTAGGTCCAGGGGTGGGAATCCCGCTATTACCCCCGTCGCCATCGCCGAAGTGGATCTGTATGCGCTGGTGATAAGCTGAGCACATTTTCTATGAATCCTATTAATTATAACTAAATCTTTTTGTCTTTTCATCACTTCGTCTGCCCAGACTGGGGCTGCATATAGGAAGATGGAGGTCACCACCGAGGCCAGCATGATCCTTTTTTTGACTTTCGGGCCCCTTAAGTTTTGTGCAATCCTGGCCAGGTTATTTAAAGTAATTTCAACCTTGTTCTAGATGTATTCTAGGTGTTCTCTAAAATTTAGCGCTGAATCTACCTGCACACCTAAGTATTTCAGGTGTTTCTTTGGTTTAATTACGTCTGCTTTAACCTTGATTGGTTGCTGGGTCCATTCTTTATTAGTTGACGTCATTCCAAAGATTATCGCCTCTGTTTTATTGGGCGAGATCTGCAATCCAAGTTTTTCAATTAATTCAATTATGTTCTCCAACGCTTTATTAATGGCCAAAATAGTTTTTCTTGCGTTCTTGCCAGACAGCAGGACCAGGGTGTCATCTGCATAGCAAATGGCCCTCAGCCCCGCCATCAGGCACGCTTTTAGAATAGCATCGTATACCAGGATCCACAACAAAGGCCCGAGAATTGAGCCTTGCGGGACCCCTCTGCTAACCTCGAAGATGTAATCTCCATCCTCCACCGCAACCTTTCCTATCCTATTACTTAAATAAGAATTGATGAGCGCCTGGAGGTAGGGCGGGACCCCCATCCCCTCTAAGGTCCGTACAATGGAATCCCAGCTAAGGGAGTTGAAGGCATTCTTAATGTCGAGGGCAATCGCAACTACCTTTTCCCTCCTCTTCCTTTTGTCCAGTACATAGTCCTTCAAGTCCAGCAGCGCATGTACGGTGGATTTACCCCTTCTGAAACCAAATTGGTTATTAGCGAGGTTATAATATTGCTCCGCCCAGCTTTCTAGTCTCCCTGCTACGAGTCTCTCGAATAGTTTTCCAAACTCACTAATCAAACAGATAGGTCTAAATTTTCTCTCACACGGACCCAAGCTCTTAGGGATCAATACCACCCTTGCCTCTTTCCAAATTTTGGGAAACCTAAGCCTGCGTAGGGGGCAGGAGAGGATCTCAGTCATCTCCTCCCCCCTACCCAGAGCCATCATTTTGATTACACGCCCAGGGGTTCCATCCGATCCCGGAGCCTTCCCCAGCTTAATCCTTTTTGCCGCTCTTATCAATTCCTCCTTTTGTACCTTTAATGTATCATCCTCCGTTCTTTTTATGTCCTCAAATGTTTCACTAGGTATTTCTGGGATCCGATTTCCCTCTGGGAAAAGCTCCTCAATTATGCTGATTCTCTCCTCCCGACTGAGTGGTGGGTTCCTTTTCTTTAATTTCTTAACTACGATCCTATACGCTAGACCCCAAATATCTTTATCAAGTTCTTTTATTAATTTTTCCCAACACTTCAGTTTTTTCTTCTTGATGATTGTTTCGACGTAGATGTTGTGTAGTCGAATTGCCGGAAAGCTATAACGTGGAAAGCTCAGCGCTGAGCTAGATAACGTGGGATTGGTTTTTGGGTGCAAGAAAAGTGCAAATGGACAATTAACAAAGTTTATTTAAAAGTTAGATTCACGTATGACTTTGTACACTCACGATTACACGACGAAAACTTAACTGTACACTTTATTGAACGGCACATCAAAAATATATATATATAAGTTCAAAATGAAATGAATTGTCTTTTATTAATCTTATATAAATATAATAATAAATAATAATAATAAATATATATATCTTATATAAATTGTCTTATATAAATCTCGCAGAGATGCTGGTTCGTGATTATGTTAACGAGAGTCTTCGTAAATCAGTAGAACGCCCAAGGGTCTCACGCTCTTATATGTACTCGCCGGTATTCCGCGATTGGAGCATTCAATTTTTCTCCGTTGCGGCAGTTCGAGAATCCAAACAAAGCGTGGAGTTCCGCGGGTCGCCTGATTGGCCTAGCTGTTGCCGTGCGCCGGTTTGACGGTTGGAGTCGCGACAACAGCTAGGCTAGAAAAACAAGACACCGCCAACGACTTTTGCTGCTGTTGTGAAACGGTGCCTAGAAAAAGTGTATTTTTCGCGGTTCTAACGGTTTGCGCTATCTCTTTGTTTGGATTCTCGAACAGAATACGATAACCAAAACTTCATTGATGAAACCCCAAAAATAAAGAATTTTGATTTTTGAATTTAAAAGGCAGAAGACGCATGAGTGTTTCATGTTTGCCGAACTCGTCAATCTTCTGCTTCTCTTTCTTTTCCTTTCGCTGTCCTCTTTTATGTTAAAAACTTTAATCACTCGTTAAACACACAATTGTTAACGTAATTATATCATGTTTGGTGTCATTTTAATCAGGAAATCTAGACAAATACAACAGTAAAAGTTTCATGAAAAAATAGTAAGAAATAAGAAAGTTACAATCTTTTCCTTTGCTTGCATTAGTATGTGTCTCACCGATATTCGATCATCGTCGTTTCGGCAACCGATCGTGTTTCATTTTTGACAGATTTCGAGGGGGATCCCCCCAGTAGTGGGGATAGAATTTTAACA